ACATTATTAGGAGGATATGTTTTTCTTGATACCAGAGTTGGTCCCCGTCAGGAAATTAATCTTCAGGGTGGTGAACTATGTTGGGTATTAGGCACATTAGGCCCAAACCAACAATATCTCACGTTTGGGCTCCTACTCACTTCCATCAAACGGCCCAGAACTCTGGCAGGGGTCAGCAAAACCAAAACTAACAAGAAATCTTTTAACACTCTGAGTGCTGGTAAAGGGAAAATGTGCAAGACTGAACAATGAATTGGAGGGCTGGCTGGGTCTTCATTGTTTTGTGGACCGGAGGTAGGTTTTGAGGAAAATTAGGGATGGGCCTTGGAAAGGCTTGGAGGATCTCAGCAGGAAGAAAAGGAGGAAGAGGAAGAGGATCTTTTCAGAAAACTGGGCAACCGTTGAGGATACCCTAATGAAAACTTATACAATGAGGAGGTGCCCCTCCAGCAGTACAAGGGTGCAAGTTACCCAAACCAAGGAAGAAACCTCAATGTCTTTGTTCCTCCATATGGCTTTGGGTTTTTTTGTTTGTTTGTTTGTTTTAAAGATTTTATTTATTTGACCGAGAGAGAGAGAGAGAGAGAGAGAGAGAGAGAGAGAGAGGGATAGCGAGAGCAGGAACACAAGCAGGGGGAGCAGGAGAGGGAGAAGCAGGCCTCCCGCTGAGCGGGGAGCCCGACGTGGGGCTCGATCCCAGGACCCTGGGATCATGACCTGAGCCGAAGGCAGACGCTTAACCGACTGAGCCACCCAGGCGCCCTTGTTTTGTTTTTGTTTTTCTCTAGCCCTCTGGTGAAGAGCTCCCAGGTCCAGGAATGGCTGCCGCAGTGGTGGGGATAATCCCACTCCTTGACCAGTGGACAGGCATTGGTCTATGCATCTACGGTGGACGACAGGGCAGCGGGGGCACCAACTGGCAAAACCCCAGGCAGGAGAAACTTGTAAGGCTGAGTCTCCTTCCTTTCTTCCTTTCAGAGGGCAACCAGAAACATTAGAGGACAAAAAGGGGATGTATGTGTGTGGAGGTGGGGGGTGGGGCGGTGGGTGTGGGTGGTGGCTAGCAATCGCTTGACTCGGGAGTTACTGTTTGCTGTTGAGGCCCAGGGATTTGGACTGAGGCAATTCCAAAGCCCTCCACTTTTCATGGAGGGTGACTAACATTTCATTTTGTGTATGTGCAGGTGCTACTGATGAGGCAGGAAAAAAAAATGTGGTGTGTACTAGAGTGGCCTGAGACTTGTTGCCAATATTTCTTAAATTTTGGTGGCCGAAACCTGGGATAAGTTGCTATTCTAAAGCAGCTTGCAGGGCGCCTGGGTGGCTCAGTCGTTAGCCTTCGGCTCAGGTCATGGTCCCAGGGTCCTGGGATCGAGCCCCGCATCAGGCTCCCTGCTCCAAGGGAAGCCTGCTTCTCCCTCTCCCACTCCCCCTGCTTGTGTTCCTGCTCTCGCTATCTCTCTCTCTGTCAAATAAATAAGTAAAATCTTAAAAAAAAAAAAATTATAAAGCAGCTTGCAGTTTTCTCATTTAATGTTTTGAACAAAGACTGCTGTCTTGGTTTGGAAAATCCCTTCCCAATCAATACTTGAGGGTTCTTCTTGGTTTGGTGAAGGCAATGACCAATTCTTATAGTGGAATGGACAGTTGGGACACAGCCAAAGTGCTCTGCATAATAATGCCAGTGGCAGACTTTTTTAAAGTTAATTGAGGGGGTGCTCGCTTGGGCAGCACATATACCAAAGTTAATTGAGGGGGGAGGTGCCTGGGTGGCTTAAGCAGTTAAACGTCTGCTTCAGGCTCAGGTCATGATCCTAGGTCCTGGGATCAAGCCTCACATCAGGGCTCCCTGCTCAGTGGGGAGCCTACTTCTCCCTCTCCCTCTGCCTGCCACTCCCCCTGCTTGTACTCTCTGTCAAATAAATAAAGTCTTAAAAAAATAATAAAGTTAATTGGAAGTCTAGCCTCAAACAGGTTGGGGTAGAGGTAGAAGAGAAATTCTCTGCTATTGGTGCCTTGTCAAAGATGTTGAGAACAGTGGAGAGATGACTTTGCAGGAAGGAAAGTCCTTCTGGGAGGCAATGAGCAATAGACTACGGATGCAGTCCTTTTTTTTTAAGATTTTATTTATTTATTTGACAGAGAGAGACACAGCGAGAGAGGGAACGCAAGCAGGGGGAGTGGGAGAGGGAGAAGCAGGCTTCCCGCCGAACAGGGAGCCCAACGCCCTGCTGAGCCACCCAGGTGCCCTAGATGCAGTCCTTTTAATAGCCACTTCTAAAGCAACTGCTCTTTGCTTTCCGCACTACTAGGGGAGGGGTTCACACAGCGGCATTGTTCTACATTCCCACCATAACTTAAAGGGAAACTTTTACAATGTCTGGAGCTCTTGATGTCCTGCAAATGAAGGAGGAAGGTGTCTTCAAATTCCTTGCAGCAGGAATCCACTTAGGTGGCACCAACCTTGACTTCCAAATGGAACAGTCCATCTACAAAAGAAAAAGTAATGGCATCTACATCATAAATCTGAAGAGAACCTGGGAGAAGCTTCTGCGGGCAGCTTCTGCCATTGTTGCCATGGAAAACCCCCACTTAAAAAAAAAAGTCCTATCATCCAGGAATACTGGTCAGCGAGCTGTGCTGAAGTTTGCTGGGGCTACTGGAGCCACTCCTATGGCTGGCTGTTTCACTCCCAGAACCTTCAAGAACCAGATCCAGGCAGCCTTCTGGGAGCCAAGACTTTTGGTGGTTCCTGATCCCAGGGCTGATCACCAGCCTCTCACAGAGGCGTCTTACGTTAACCTGCCTACCATTGCTCGTGTAGCATAGACTCTCCTCTGCGCTATGTGGACATCACCATCCCTTGCAACAAGGGAGCTCACTCAGCAGGTCTGATGCAGTGGATGCTAGCCCGGGAAGTTCTGTGCATCTGCGGCACCAATTCCCATGAACACCCATGGGAGGTTACGCTGATCTTTACAGAGATCCTGAAGAGTTTGCAAGGGAAGAGCAGGCTGCTGCTGAAAAGGCTGTGACCTGGGAGGAATGTCAGGGTGAATGCGATGTGGTTTTGGAATATTAGGTGAGGTGAGGTGGGGTCCGGAGCTGATGACCAAGAAAGAATTCTTGAGATGTCTTTGGTGCAAAACAGTGGTTTTACTAAAGAACGGGGTCTGAACCTGTGGGCAGAAAGAGCTGCTGCCCTGGAGGTTTGAGGAGTGGTGATTATATACTTGGGAGCTGGGGGACGTCAGGTAAAGGGAGGTTTCAAAAGAACTTTCATATGCTAAAGAGGACTGACCTACAAGATACTGGAAGCCTTGCCATTGTCTAATTAAGGTTGTTTTCCCCTCTAGCGAAGTATTAACATTAAGATAGTTGGGAGATTCCTGGAAGAATGTCACTCATGTCCCACCCAGGAGTGGGGGTGGGGGAGGGAGGTTGCAGATCTTTATGCTTTGTCTTCAGCTTGCCTTCTGCTCCCTTATCAAATGGACTGCTCCAGCTCCTGAGTTCAGTGCTACTCAATCTGAAGTCAAAGACTGGTCTGAAGGCATGCAGGTACCCTTGGTGCCTATTCAGCAGTTTCCTACTGAAGACTGGAGCGCTCAGCCTGCCACTGAACGCTGGTCTGCAGGTCCTACTGCTCAGGCCACTGAATGGGTAGGAACAACCACTGAGTGGTCTTAAGCTGCTCTTCCACAAAGGCAAACAAAGTGGAATAAGGTTGATGGAAATTAAACAGTTTCTCAAGAAAAAAAATCTTTTGGTCTTTGTAATTCTATTCTCAGACTTTGAATAATAGTCTGGTGTTAGCTGTATTTGGAGAATGAAGGGAGGGGCCCACATCCAACTTGGGATTTGCTTCCAGAGTGGTGATAGGCACAGGTGGGTAGCTGGTGGTTCTGGAGCTCTAGGTGGTGACTTGCACCAGAATTCCAGAACACTTTATTGAGCAAAGGACGAGGCTGTCATGGAGAGTGCCTGTGTTAAAGTTCAAGCAAGCCTGGAAGTCTGGCATTAACTGAATTATAAAAAGGGTCAAGTGGCAGTCAGGGATGGATTTGTGGGGCATGAAAGGAAGGATTCTAGGACTGTTTGGAGGAGGGGCCTGGATATTCTGTCACTAAAGAGGGTGGGACTTTTTCCTCTTACTGATAATTAACCAGAAGTGTGACGTCTAGATAACAGAGGGAGAGTTAATCAGCACTCCTTGCCAGCCGGGGGGAGGTGGCGGGGGAAGACCAGTAGGTACTAGTAGGACTCAGGTACCACTCTCCCTTAAGTAAAGCCCTCTTTGAGTTCTGCCCTTCCCTATCCCTCCCCAAGGGGTGGTTTTCCTTTCTCTGGCTCCTACTGCATTTTGCACATAATTATCTTGTAATTTGTAATCATGTCTCTCCCAGTAGACTCACATCAAGGGCCAGGGACTGGCGCTGGTTCTCAGATCCTGGTTCCAATCCAGCTACACCACTAGTTAGCTTTGTGACTTTAGGCAAATTACTTAATCGCTCTATGTTTGATTTCCTTATTTATTAAAAATGGGCACAAGACTCCTCCCCATCGCCTGGGGGTGCTGGGAGAAATGCAGGTGACAATGTGTGTAAAGTACTGGACAGAAGGTATATGCAAACTAAAGGGCAGTTAGTAGGGTAAACATTTGTTAAGTGATGTGAACACCTTTATTTTGTGCCCTCAACAAACATTTACTGAGCAAGTACTGTATTTCAGGCCTCCGGGGCGCTCCCTCCCTCCGGGGTGGAGAAGCCTCACGTGTGGCCTGAGGGCCTTGTCCCGCGGGCCGTCTCGCGACTGGCTCCGCCGCAGGGAAAACCCCGCCCACATCCCTTCCGATCTCGTCAGCGATTGGACTGGAACCGTCCCGTACTCATTCCGGTTGCTCGGTTCGGGAGGAGAAGGTGGGGGCGAAGCTGCGCGTGCGCAGATTGAGGACGAAGATGCTTTCCGGTCGGGCGGGAGGAGGTGACGTCAGGAGTGGTGGTGCGGTTGGGCGGGGGGGCCTCCTATAACCCTCAGGACGTTTTATCTGTGGGCCCTCCGATAGCGTCACAAGTGGGCGACTGAGCCTTGGCGGTGGTGGCCGAGGCGGCGAAGGCGGCAGCGGCGGCGACAGCTCTGGGGTTTGCGTCTCGGGGTGTGTCGGCCGCCGCTGCTGCTTGGGCCTGGTATGTACAAATGGCTGGTTAGGATTCTCGGCACCATTTTCCGTTTCTGTGACCGGCCGGTGCCCCGTACCCGGGCCCTCCTGAAGAGGCGGCGCTCGAACAGGTGAGAGGAGAGGGGGCCGAGCGCCAGCCTGGCTGTACCTCCTCCCCCACCCGGGGCTCGGCGGGGAGAGCGCTGATCCAGCCCCGCAGGCCCTGCTCGGCCGAAACAGCTGGCCGGGCCAAGGCGGTGGAGGTGCGGGTCGCGGGTGTCCTGGTGACGTAATCGCTCCCTCCTCGCTGTGCGGATGCGCTCCTGATGATGGAACGAGCTAGTTGTCTTTGGAGTGGCCCGCGATGGTTAGGATCTTTCCTGTTCTTGTCAGAGCCCACGCTGGTTGCTGTCAGATGGGGCTGTATCGTATCTTGCTACTCTTAGGTTGAAAACTAAAGATTGAAGGAATACTGTCTGTGTTGTGGTTCACTGTTAACGAAGCACACTCCCAAGTGTCATCTGTAGGCAGTAAGTGCAGCTAAGGGAAGTGAGATTCATAGCTTGCCCAAAGCCGTTTTGACTGCAAGAATTGTTCTCTTAGCACCAAGAAACAGCAGCTGTTTTGTTCTGAAACAGCTGTCAAACTGTGTGTGTGTGTGTGTGTGTGTTTTGCGGGGGAGGGGGGGTGGTACTGTGCTTTAGAGTTAGCGTATGAGGGGGAAAAATTAGGTGTCTGATTCCTTTAAAAAGATCACTGGTTTGTACTCTAAAATTCAGGTAAAATTTTGGGAAACCTGAAAGTTGGTTTGTCTCATTTCATACCACCTTGCTTGAGAATTAATCTAGAGAATAAAATACCATACCAATTCTATATACCCCATCATCAACTTTTAGTGATCAAGTGTTAATTTCATTTTTTTAAAATTAAGCCTCAAGATCGTTGAAGAGTGGTTTCTTGGAGCTTGAGAGAACAAGATGATTTAATACATGAGTCTGAGAATGCAGGCCATTGATGATGTTGGCTGTTGGCTAAATTCCATCATGTGTTCTAGAGAGCCCAAGGTTTCAACCTATTCTTTTCTACCTTTTTGTGAAGTTGATGTGAGGATCATTTGAGAACATGTTGTAAAGTGCCTAAAATGATGCTTAATATATATAAGGATAGTATTTGTTTATTCTACCCCAAGGGCCTTGTGCCGAGGCTGGTGCATGGTAGACACTTGGTGCATATTTATTGAAGGAGAGAATGTTAATTCCCCCTCCCCATCCTTTCTTTTCGCTGTGAATCCCTGCTTTCAAATAGATGGAACAATGATTTGGAGATGAAAACCCTGTTCTTCACCACATATCCTTAATCTAAACCAGTTCTTCACAATGTAAGCCATTTTTCAGTCAAAATGAAGCCAGGAGATCTTACTGGGACTTTAAAGTTATGAACTGAATGGTATTCTCCTGGGATTTATTCTGTTCATTATTTTTGGTAAAACTGATCAATCATAATTATCATTAAAAAGATGACTAACAGTATATCATAAGCCTTTAACATTCTTGAGGTATAGGTCCAAAAACTTTCCCAAATTCCCCAGTTTTTTTATTACCACTGTAATTTAGTTTCCATGATAGAAGTGCAGTTAAATAGAACAACTTTTCTGGCTAAGAATTGTATTTTAAGGCTTCTTATATTGTCTACTTCTAGTGAAGTAGAAGATGGCTTTCCTTGCAGGGGCGGGGGAGATGTCATCTTTCAAAACGAAATTATTTGTTTTAAAATCATTTCTGGAGAGGGGTGCCTGGGTGGCTCAGTCGTTAAGCATCTGCCTTTGGCTCAGGTCATGATCCCAGGGTCCTGGGATCGAATCCTGCATCAGGCTCCTGGCTCAGCGGGAAGCCTGCTTCTCCCTCTCCCACTCCCCCTGCTTGTGTTCCCTCTCTCTCTCTCTCTCTCTCTCTGTCAAATAAATAAATAAAATCTTAAAAAAAAATAAAAACAATAAAATCATTTCTGGAGAGAAAAAGGAAATACTAGTCCTAGGCTCTTACCTATGTTCATTTACTAGCCAAGTAATTTCTGGCCAGTTTCAAGTTTGTACGTTAGCCAGAGTACAGATTATCATTTGATAGGGAGTTTTGAGTCCCTTTGAAATAGTTTAAGCAATAGTGTTAAGACCTCAAATGGTAAAGGCCTACTGTAGAGGAGTGTTTTCTTTGCAAGCATCAGTTGAATCTCATTTTTTTGACAAAGTGGATGAAGAGGATGTGTTGTATGCATACTAGGTTTACTTACAGAAATGGATGTATGTATATGTAAATATATATATATATTTTTTTTTCTCTCTCTCTCTTTCTCTTTTCAGCACTTTGTTTTCTACAGTGGACGCTGATGAAATACCAGCTAAAAGACCAAGATTAGGTATTGAATATGATAATTTTTTAAATTACATTTTTTTAAATAGGAAAAGTATATGTATGGAACAAAATTCAAAAGGTAAAAAGTATGTGCAGTGAAAAGTAAGTCTCTTTCCTGTCCCTTTTCTACTCAGTTATCTTTTCTGAGGTAACCACTGTTAACCAGGACTTGAATATCTTTCCAGATAAATAAGGCTGTGTGTTGAATATGTATTTAAAAATTTTCAATCTTCTATAAAGAAAAGGTGTTTTTTATTTTTGAGGAGAAAACATGGTAAAAAACTACTTCAAACTAAGTCATCTAGTTCACATAGCTGAGTGAATGAATCTAATGTGTTGCCCCAAATTGTTTATTTCTCTGTATCCAGAGGGCTAGACATAGCTTGATAGAAGAGAACAAAACTAGATTAAAGGAAAAAGGCACAGTGGAGTGCTATAATAGTATTTCCTTTCTCTCAAAAATGAATGTGCATTTCGATCTACCTCCAGATGTGGTAGCTAACAGTAGACATGCCTGTTAAGATTTCATTTAAATTCGATGAGTACTTATTGAGCATGTCTTACTGCTAAGCAATGTGTTAGGTTCTAAAGGAACAAGAAAAAATGAGTAAGACAGGGTCTCTGTTTTTAGGGACCTTAATTGTGTAGGTATATGATTGTATCATTGAGGGTATAAGACAAGCATATAAATAATTACTAATGTCAGTAGGGATGTGATAAATGAAATAAGAAAGATAGTTACAAAATACTGTCCAATTTTCAGCTGATTAAAAGTCTCAGTAAATATTTGATGAAAGAGTGAGTATGTGAGATGGATCTTAAAGGATGGGTGGGATATCAACAGAGCAATAGGAAGGGAAAGCATTCTAGGCAGAGGGAACAGTTATGGGAGAGTTGTGCAATTCAGGAAGCTGAATAGAACTCAGGGGAAAAGTTGGCTAGAGAGAGGTATATCAAATTAAGAGGACTTTGAATGCCAGATTTATACTAAATTCATTAGGACAGTATTTCCCAAAGCACAGGATAGATATCAGTTCAGGAAATGATTTTAGGGGATACAACATTTCATAGCATTAAGTAGTATGAATTATGTAGAAAAAAGTTATATCCTTTTAATTTGTTTTTAATTTTCTGATTATTTCAAGCAGAAAATCTTGGTTTAATGCTAGTATGTTTTTAATACTTATCTACTACATGTGACTCCGCTTTTTTTTTTTTTTAAGATTTTATTTATTTATTTGACAGAGAGAGAGAGATCACAAATAGGCAAATAGGCAGGCAGAGGGAGAGGGAGAAGCAGGCTCCCTGCTGAGCATGGAGCCCGATGTGGGGCTCAATCCCAGGACCCTGGGATCATGACCTGAGCCGAAGGCAGCCGCTTAACCGACTGAGTCACCCAGGCGCCCCGACTCTCCCTTCTTTTTTTTTAAAGATTTTATTTATTCATTTGAGACAGAGAGAATGAGAGAGACAGAGAGCACATGAGAAGGGGGAGGGTCAGAGGGAGAAGCAGGCTCCCTGCCGAGCAGGGAGCCCGATGCAGGACTCGATCCAGGGACTCCAGGATCATGACCTGAGCCGAAAGCAGTTGCTTAACCAACTGAGCCACCCAGGCGCCCTCTCCCTTCTTTTAACAGGCCCAGCTAGAACTTACATTGTTACATTTCATTTCTTTATAAGGCAAATAATGTTTCTTTACATTTATAGTAGTGATATAAAGTTACCTTTCTTTCTTTTTTTTTTTTTTTTAAGATTTTATTTATTCATTTATTTGAGAGAGTGAGAGTGAGAGAGAGAGAGAGAGCACATGAGAGGGGGGAGGGTCAGAGGGAGAAGCAGACTCCCCGCCGAGCAGGGAGCCCGATGTGGGACTCGATCCCGGGACTCCAGGATCATGACCTGAGCCGAAGGCAGTCGCTTAACCAACTGAGCCACCCAGGTGCCCCAAAGTTACCTTTCAAATACATTTATTTAGCAAAAAATATGAATCAATTTTAAACAAAAATGTAAATAAAAAACAGTGCGCTAAAGACCTTTGACAGTGGTTACATCTAAAACTCATGTAGCATTGTGTGTCAACTATCCTTCAATCAGAACAAAAGAAAACCAAAAAGAACTTTGAGGGTGGTATTACAGAAGTTTCCTGAAATAGTTATGGTAAACATCTATTTCATGGACTTTCTTCCATGTTAAAGACCCCTCCCTCCATGATTTCCATGAAATATGTATTATAATTTTCTGAATGGCTACTATAGAAAGGAACCTAAGCCGAGGGGGAAGCATTAGATAGCAGGTGTAATACTTATTGGCAGAGTTTGTAAAGGTCTACAGGAATGCATCCGATAGGCCTCTCCGTGATGATGCCTATTGAGCACTTGAAATGGGGTCAGTGTGACTGAGGACCTGAATTTAATTTTAATTAAATATAAACTTAGGTGACTACATGTGGCCACCGGCAACTATGTTGGACAATACGACTCTCTCGTTTGCTTTTGAGAGGAAAAAACAAAAGGAGGGTAAAAGGAAAAAGAAGACCTTAGAATCACAGACACATGATCTTAGAGATGAAAGGAATTTTAAGAGATCTAACTTAGTCTATTGTGAGGAAAGTAAGGTGGTCTTTTCCCCATTTTACAGATGAAACAGGCCCCCCCACTCCCCCTTAGCCCCTCCTCTTCTTCTTCCTCCTCCTTTTTTGAGTTATTGAGATCTTTTTGGCATAATCTCGAGGAATACTCAGATTTTTACAAATTCGTAGGAAAATAAGTATTCCAATACTTTTTAGCATCCACTATTTAACATTGTTAGTTATTAGGAATATCCCTTGCCCCCTGGGGTCTGGATTACAGGCTCTGGATTAAGCACCAATCTCTAAAGCTTATATTCTTCCACTTAAGAAAGTACAGCAGAATATAAGTGATATCCCTCAACATTACTAGAGGGATAACCAGGAATTCTCTAAGTCTTAAAATGAGAAACAAGTAATTTGCAAACTTTGATACTTTTACCTATTCTCTAGATACAAATTACTTCAAATTGCATTCTGCTTTACTTAGCTATCACATCCTCCCTGTTGTTTAAGTTATTCCCCTATTTTTCTATTTCTGTTTTATATCTTATATGTTCTGGAGTGCTTGTTGTTTTAAAGCCACCATTTCAATTTCAGGCTTTTTTTCTCTAAAGCACAATGTGAGTAAAATGATGGTCTCTTTCTCTCAAACTAGTGCTTTAAAATACCCTTAATTGGGAAATAGAAAGGAAATTGTAGAGAACCAGTCAGTAGTGTAGGAAATGAGAAAGGAGTACTGTCATAAAAGGAGGAAGTGTGGCAAGCACTGAAATCTACCCCTCCCTCTTATTTATTTACTTACTTATTTTGTAATCTTTATTTTTGGTGGCAGGGAGGGGTGCATCAGATCTAACACATCTCAGTAGAGGATAGCCTTATTTCATCATAGATGTATAAGAGCTGCATTTTTTTTTTTAAAGATTTTATTTATTTATTTGAGAGAGAGAGAGTGAGAGAGAGCAAGCACATGAGAGGGGGGAGGGTCAGAAGGAGAAGCAGACTCCCTGCCGAGCAGGGAGCCCGATGCGGGGTCCCGATCCAGGGACTCCAGGATCATGACTCTGAGCCGAAGGCAGTCGCTCAACCAACTGAGCCACCCAGGCGCCCAAGAGCTGCATGTTTTATGCTTTGCTAATTCTACCCTTGAGTAGCCAGTGTATAATAGGCACTTAGTAAATAGTTATTTAGGAGCATATTGTTACCTGCCCAGGAAGTAAGGACAAACCGGTGAGTAAATTATAGTGCTTCCTGTAAGATTCTGCCATACTTAGTGTCTACGTGCTGCAGGTTAAGTTATGCCCCTATCTCTCTGGTTTATTTATTTTATATATTCTGAAGAACTCATTGCTTAAAAGTTGTCATTTCAGGGCATTTATTTATGAATCAGATAAATTTTGGTCTTACTGATTTGCTGAAGTGATGATTTCATGTTTTTGTAGCATCCCAGAAGAGATACCTTGTTAAAAAACAAAAATCACAGGGTGCCTGGTGGGGCATGCGACTCTTGAACTTGGGGTCCTGAGTTCACACCCCACACTGGGCCTAGAGCTTACTTAAAAATACCAACCAACCAACCAAACAAACAAACAAAAACAGGAGCACCTGGCTAGCTTTGTTGGTAGAGCATGTGACTCTTTTTCTTTCTTTTTTTCTTTTTTTTGAGAGAGAGAGAGAAAGTGTGCATGAGGGGGCGGGGTGGGAGGGGCAGAGGGAGAGAGAGAATCTTAAGCAGGCTCCACAACCAGCATGGAGCTCAATGTGGGGCTTGATCTCACAACCATGAGATTATGACCTGAGCTGAAGTCAGGAGTTGGACGCTTAACTGACTGAGCCACCCAGGTGTCCTGCATGTGACTCTTGATCTCAGGGTTGTAAGTTCAAGCCCCACGTTGGGCATGGAGCCTACCTGAAACAAAACAAAACAACCCCAAAACCCAGAATCACAATACTGGAATTCTAGTTATTCAGATAGGAGGAAAGTTACTTTTATGGATACCTACTTATCTCAGTGATTGAAAATAGGACTTCTAATAGAGATTGAGAGAGGCCTTTTCTAAAATATAATCTTATTTTTTTGCTGGAAGTTTATTATTCTCTACTTATATGTATATGTAATCTATATTATATTGTCTAGATTATTTCATTCACCAAGTCAAAACCAGTCTCTACAATGCTGCCAGCTTATTTGGATTCCCATTCCAGCTGACCACAAAACCCATGGTAACTTCTGCTTGTAATGGAACACGGAATGTGGCCCCTTCAGGAGAGGTCAGTGGGGATAGGGTTCCATTGGGGCTACTGATCTTTGTACTTATTCATTAAAGTTAAATTTTAGAAATATTCTTTTTAGGAATTGAGTGGAATGACTTCTTTCCAGAAATGTTGATGTCTTTATTAGCCTTGATATAAAGGCCAAGAAGTTAAAGATTAAGAAATTACACATTAAAAAAATATTTATAAAGAGTCCAATTACTAGTACATCTGCTTTTCTTGTTTAAGTATATGTAAAGAACCTGAAATAGTTATTTTATATATAATTTTGTGAATCTTCACCAATTAAACTTTTGGTCTTACTGATGATGTCTCTTCTGTAAGCTAGTGAAATAATGACCAATAGAGTGATTTTTTTATATTAAAAACTTATTTAAATTCTAAAATTGAGATACTACAGAGGTGATTCTATTTGATTTTAAGGTATTTTCGAACTCTTCATCTTGTGAACTGACAGGTTCTGGATCCTGGAACAACATGCTGAAACTGGGTGAGGTGGTCAAAAATCTTTCTGCTTTCTCCTGTACCTCTTTCTGCCTCTTTTTTCTGAGTTTTGAGAATATGAAAGGAAAACAAATACTGAGTTGGGTTGGGATGAGAACACAGACATATTCTCTCTACCTTCTAAAAATTATTAAGTAGTTTTCTTCTAGAATTGTCATTGCATTTATTTTTTGTGTTTTCTGTTTGTATTATCAGTGTCCTTAATGTGACTTAGTTCAGAGTTCATTCATTAAGAAAACAAATAACATTTCCTGAGAGCTTACTCTGTGTCAGGCATGTGTTATCAAGGATAACAAAAGGACAAAATAATAAATAAAACCTTTCATAACAAAATACAAAACAAATAATAAAATAATAAAACCCTGTCTTTAAGGGACATCATCTGATTGGGGAGCAACTTTAGGTTTCCAGTTCTCATAGTTTTATGCATTAGGAACCTCCATGTCATTCTTGGGGCCCAAAATTGAATTGTAATTATTGTACATAACTGTATAAAATTCTGTCATGGGGAAAACTAGGAAGAATCCAGACTCCTGAAAATGACTGTGATCTCTGTCACACAGGCCTATAAAGTTTGAAAGAAAGGGATAAAAGTTTTTAGAAAAGTTGTGGGTTCTGAAGTCAAAAGTGGAAGAAACTAAGGAAATGATAAATGATAAAGTGATAAGGAAATGATACTACCTTACAGTAGTAAGTTTGCTTCTCAAGCTTTTTAAGTAAAGTCTCTCCGGTGGCAGAGAAGAGCAAAGGGGAGTAAATGCATATCCCTGAGTCTGAGAATCTAATTCCAGAGGACCTGGAACAAAGATGATATTTTTTTGGAGTCTTTCATTTCATTTTAAAAGTTAGTACAAATTAGATTTTATAATCTATTCATACTGTTTGAATATGTAAATGTTAAAAACTATTTATCATTAAAATGGACACATGGAAGGGATGGTACTGTCTTGTGCCTGAGGTATCAGCACTATATTTCTGTGTGTTTGTGTAGCCTTGTCAGAGAAGCACAGGTATTCCTGGGGCAGGTTTCTTGTATAAAGGAGTCTACAGTCTCTTATCTGAAACCCTTGAAGATGTGCTGGGGAATTTAGAATTTTTCATATCTTAGATATATTGTCTTAAAAATCCCATTAGAATTGAACATTGGTTCAAATCAGGTTTTGCAAACAAAGGAATTCAGGTCAGTTTAAGTTTTGCTGCTACAGACTTGTGAAAAAACTTTCAGTTTTAGATCTCTTTACATTTTGGAGTCTTCAGGGGCTCCACAGTTGTGCTGTAGCTTCAGCAGTAAATGTGGCTGATGAAAGTTTGGTTACCCTTTTTCGAAGTATAGTAACCATCTCATAAGTGTTGGAAGCTTCCAGTGAAATAGTAACATATAGTAGGTTTTCATTTAAAAAAACCTTCTGTTTTCTTGGGAAAAAGAAATGATTCGAACAACTCAATTGGATTAGATTACATGGAGTTTGTATCATTGAGTTCTTTATGCTTCTTGATGGTTCCAGCAAGTGGAACTAGAAAAGCTTACCTGTGAACTTTTATTGTCTCTCTGAGATCAAAGACAAATTAAGCACTATTGCTTTTTCTTCAGCTTTTACAGTTTGTTCTGGATCTCTGTATAGTAATAGCATTTGAAAGAATAAGATATTTAGTTCTACAGCGTAGACTCTTCACAGATTTTCTAATGCAGACTGTTCACAGGTTTGGGGTTTTTTTTTGTTTTTTTTTTTTACAATTACAAATGCATTTTTTAAAATAGGTAATAAATCTCCTAATGGAATAAGTGACTATCCAAAGATCAGAGTGACAGTAACCCGAGATCAGCCCCGCAGAGTCCTGCCTTCCTTTGGGTAAGTGTTAAATTCTGCCTTTTTGTAAATGGAAGCTTAGCACTTAGGTGTTCACTCTTGCTAGCATTCCCACTTTTGTTCTATTATGTAAGCTTGTTAAGTAAGTACTCTGAGGTTAGTAACTTGCCAGATGTCATACAGCTATTGAGAGATTTGAACTCAGGTATGTGTTACTTTCTCTGTACTATAGCTTATGCTTATAGCATCTGATTTTGAAAACCTTTTAAAAAGGATTTGTTGCTCACTTCTAAACTTAATTTTTTTTAAAGGATTTTATTTATTTATTTGAGAGAGAGAGAGAGCAAGCACAAGCAGTGGGGAGGGGCAGAAGGGGAGGGCGAGGGAGAGTATCTCCAGCAACTCCATGGTGAGCGTGGAGCCCCACACAGGGCTCAGTCCCATGACCCTGAGATTACAGCTGGAGCCAAAACCGTGAGTTGGACACTTAACCGACTGAGCCACTCAAGTGCCCCTAAACTTCATTTTTTAATTTTTTTATGTTAATTCCAGTACAGTTAACATACAGTATTATATTAGTTTCAGGTGTATAATCTAGTGATTCAACAATTCTACACATTACTGAGTGCTCATCATGATAAGTGTACTCTTTAATCACCATCACCTATTTTACCCATCCCCCTACCCACCTTCCCTAAAGTTTATTTTTTCCCTAAACTTTATTTTTGAAGTATAATATGCATATGGAAAATGCAGAAACCATGATGAATTTTCATATACTGAACACACATCAGTTTTGTGAAATGTTCTTCTTTTAGTAATTTTCTTCTTTCTGTGTTCTCACATTCTAGAATTTCTATTTCTTGGATATTTTTCTAATTTTTCTCTATATTGATCTGATTGATCTAATTTTTGTATATATTCTCTTCTTTTGTTCTCCTTTCCCCTAAAAACGAAATCTTTTGCTGATTTTTTTTTTTTTTTTGATGTCATAGTTTTCAAGTAGGAAGAGTCCTGCCACTCCCTCCTCCTATGGTTTTTTATTGCTCTAAGAATCTTATTAAAAGAGGCAAAAAAAGGGGCTGCCTGGCTGGCTCAGTTGGTGGAGCATGCGACTCTTGATCTCAGGGTTGTGGGTTTGAGCCCCCTGTTGGTCACAGAGATTACTTAAAAAAAAAAAAAAAAAAAGAGGCAAAGACATATGCACTACCTTTTCTTGTTTCTCTAAAGCTGTTAATTATTTTAAAATTTCTTCTTCTCCCTACTTTGTTTCCTCTGAACTCCTTTCCCCACTTTGGTTTATTTTGGTCTTTTCTTTCATATTAGAGTCTTTTTTTTTTTTTTAATTGAGCTATAACATATTAATTTCAGGTCTACAACATAATGATTTGATATTTGTATATATTATTGAAATGATCACTATAATAAGTTTAATGTCCATCACCATACAGAGTTACAAATGTTTTTCTTGTGATGAGAACTATTAAGATCTACTCTCTTAGTAACTTTCAAATATACAACATGATATTAACTGTAGTTACCATGCTGTGCATTACATCCCATGACCTACTTATTTGATAACTGGAGGTTTGTACCTATGAATTTAGGTTTGTTTGCTTTTTAAAGATTCCACATGTAAGTGAATCATATTTGTCTTTCTCTGACTGACTTATTTCACTTAACATCATACCCTCAGGGTCCATCTGTGTTGTTCCAAATGGCAAGATTTCCTTCTTTTTTATGGTTGAATAACATTTCAGTGTATATTTTCTCTATCCACTCATCCATTGATGGACACTTAGCTTGCTTGCATGTCTTGGCTGTTGTAAATAATGCTTAGGTGAACATGGGGATGCAGATTATCTTTTCATATTAGAGTCTTTGTTCAGATATCTGGCAATCTTTGGCTCCCCATTCCTGTTTAAGAATGAGACATTAACAGAAAAGCAGCCCCTTTGGAGTTGGATAAATAGCTGATTGTAGGGCTAAGAGAGAAAGTATGAACAAGTATCATTTTTTTATTTCTCGTTTAATTCCATCACAGTCAGAGAATATACTGTAGCATAATTTCAGTTCTTTAAAATGTGTTAACATCTGTTTTATGTCCTAGAATATGGTCTGTGTGGGTGATGTTCAATGTGCACTTGAAAAGAATATGTATTCTACTATTGTTAGGTGGAATGTTCTATAATTGTCACACAGGTCAAGTTGGCTGATAATGTTTTACAGGTCTTACTGATTTTCTTTTTTTTTGCTGATTGATAAATGAGGAGTGTTGATGTTTTCTCCCATAATTAAGGATTTGTCTACTTCTCCATCTAATTATGTTAGTATTTGTCTTCATGTATTTTAAAACTCTGCAGATGAGTACACTTGACCCAGATTCACCAGTTGTAACCATTTTGCCACATTTGCTTCATCACGCTCTGTCATATATACCTATTTTTTTCTGAAGCATTTGAGAGTAAGTCTTAGACTCATGCCCCTTTAATCATAAGTGCATGAGTATGTTTATTTTTTTAAGAGTGAGGACTTTCACTTATATAATCACAGATAAACAAAATCAGAAAATTTAACATCAATACAATACTATTATGTAATCTCATTTAAATTTTTCCATTATAGAGATGATTTTTTCTGGTCCAGGATTCAGTGCAGGATCATGTGTTACATTTAATTTTCATGTCTTTTTGATCTCCTTTAATCTGGAACAATTCCTTAGCCTTTCTTTGTCTTTGATGGCATGGATAATATTTATTTATTTTTTTTTTTTTAAAGATTTTATTTATTTATTTGAGAGAGAGAATGAGATAGAGAGAGAGCATGAGAGGGGGGAGGGTCAGAAGGAGAAGCAGACTCTCTGCTGAGCAGGGAGCCCGATGCGGGACTCGATCCCGGGACTCCAGGATCATGACCTGAGCCGAAGGCAGTCGCTTAACCAACTGAGCCACCCAGGCGCCCCGGCATGGATATTTTTTAAAGAGTAGAAGGCATTTCTTTTGTAGAATGTTCCCTAATTTTGTCTGATGTTTACTCATTACTTGTTCAAGATTATGCAGGTTTGTTTTGTTTGTTTGTTTGTTTTTGTAAAAATACTACATCAGTGGTTTATCTTTTTTAAAACATCACATCAAGAGGGGTAGGATACCAGTTTGACACATTGTTGGTAACTGCAGGAGAGGCAGGCTCTGTCACCACAACCAAGGACTAGGTGGGGGCTTCATGGCTTCCATTTCTTTAGCATTTATTAATTTAACGTTCAGTAGATATTTACTGAGTACCTTTTGGTGTAGATCCTGTACTAGGATACAATAGTGAAAGGATGTAATCTCTGTTTTCATGGAATTTAAAGTTTAGTGTGAGATGTAGACATTAAATAAATAATGACACCAATAATTAATTCCAGTGGTGCCAGGTGACTAAAGGAAAAGTGTAGTACCAGAGGAGGGTATGTGTCACAGGAGGGCTAAATGCAGAGTTGTGGTTGGACAGTTGGGCACGAGGAAGAAGGCAGAGGCTTTCGTGTGCCAGTTCTGGTGACCGCAAATAGACATTCCATAGTGGAATGCCCTCTGCTCTAGAGATGGATAATAACTTTTGTGAATGGTAGTTGTCTGATTTGACAAGAGCAGGCTTAACCTAGGACAGACAGCTTCATCTCAGGATGGTCTGGGAGCTTAAATTCTAGCAATTTAAGGAGTTTGGTGGTAACTTTTTCTTTTCTTTTTTTCTATCTCTCAGTTTTACTTTGAACTCAGAGGGGTATAACAGAAGACCAGGTGGCCGTCGTCATAGCAAAGGCCCTTCAGAGAGTTCCTTAACCTGGAAGCCTCAGGAACTGGTTTTAACAGAGATGATTTCTGAAGAGGGTGGCAAGGGTCTGAGGCGTCCCCACTGTACCGTGGAGGAGGTAAGCCCTTTTAGCCTCTGATCACTTTTAAAAAATAGTTTATGAATTTTTAGGGGAATAAATAATATGTGTACTGGAGTACAGAATTCAAAAGGGATGGAAAGGTGTACTGTGACTGTAAATTTCCTAGTCTCCCTTCCAGTACCTGACCCCACAACCCTGTCTGATGGTTAGCAAGTAACCACTGATACTTGAACGTACCCTTCTGGAGATATTGTATACATACATAATTTAGTCAATTTTCAGATTTTTTTTTCCACTATAGGGCAGAAAAAGGAATCATGCTAGGAAGAGAGGAGATTCTATTCCTTTTGGGTGTTTGAATTCTTCTACTAACTTGTTTCTTTTATAAGGCATAATTGTGACTATGTAAGAGAAGTAAACAGTGAACGTGTCCTCTTTTTCCTTTGTCAGGGCACTTAGCATGATGTCTTCATCAGCAGTCTTCTTTTTACTTCCCTCTTGAGATCTTTGCTTATTCCAGGAGAATTTAGAATTATTCCTGTACTTGACATTTCCCAGGACCATCACCTATTGCAATTTGCTAGATGGTTTTCTGAGCCATTTAGTTTTGTTAGTCAAAGAATCATCTGTTTGAGGTTCAGGTGCTATGCTAGTTGTCAGCAATTCAAAAATTGAGTAAAATGAGGCCCTGTCCCCTAGGAGCTTGTAATCAACAGAGGCAAGCAGAGAGAGGAACGGACTGAAGTAGGCTTCAGTACCTCTTAAATGAGAAATCAGAGATGGGACTGAGCAAAAATATTTATATACACAGGATATATTCTAAAATAGTAGAAGGTAATATTAGCAAATACGTATTCATTGGTTAAGGGTAATATAAGTTAGAAGAGCCTGAGTCTCAGATTTCAGTCTTGGATAAATACGTGTCACTGACCAAGATACCCTATGTGTTTAGGGGGAAGATGATGACTTCAGTTTTGGACATTGTTTAAAGTGCCTGTGAAGCACGCAAGAAGACCTGTCCCGTAGACTCTTGGATATAGGTGATGAGAGTTATGAGAAGAAGGCAGGGTTAGAGACACATTTCTGAATCTTCTATATATTGGTGTTTGAGAAATCAAGGGAGTTGGAGAGAATACTCAGGGAGAGAATGTAGTGTGAGAAAAGAGATAATGGGCAGACCATCGGCATTTGAGGGCAGGCAGAAGAAATAATTGGCAGTGGAGACTGAGAAGATAAGAAGAAATCAGGAGTGTATTGTCTAGAAGGCAAAGGGAGGTCAGCAGGGTGAGGTGTTGGAGAGAGAGGTCAAGTAACGTAAAGGCTGAGAAAGTGTCTGCTGGATCTGGCCGCGGAAGTCATTGGTGATTTTGATGTGACCAGATCCATTTTGGAAACTGACTGTTCTGAATATGCAGGTGGATTATTTCTGTTGAGTTTTTTGTGGTTGACAAAAACTGCTGTCAAAAACCCAGATGCCATTAGAGTCTAGCAGGTAATGTAAATGAGTGGAGCAGGCTGGAATGAGTGGCCCATCTAAGGAGAATAGCCCTACACAGCTCCAGATCATTGGTTCAGTTTTTTGAAAGAGGTCAGATTTTTAGATTTTTCTTTTCAAATTTATAAAGTTGGTAATTCAAAGAAATTTAAAAAGTGTTGGCAAATAAAACACATCTGTGGGCTGCATTTGACCGCTTAGTCTCCATTTATGATTTAATGATAGCTTTAACATGTTAACACTTAAGTGACATCCTTTCTTTTATTTAGGGTGTTCAAAAAGAGGAAAGAGAGAAATACCGAAGGTTATTGGAGCGACTTAAAGAAAGTGGTCATGGAAACTCTGTTCCTCCTGTAACTCCAACTTATCACAGGTAAAACTGAGCTAACAAAATCAATGCTTTGCCACACATCTTTTTACTTAAATTTGGAGAGGAGATTGGCGAGAAAGGCTTTGTTGAAAAAAGAGGTTTGCGTTGAGAGAACTATCCTTATAATTTGCCTGCATGTTGTATCTAGTAATGAGATATATGGAGCCACGGTGGTTTTACAAAATAGATTTTTCGTTTAGCTTTAGAATCTTTTGTTCACATGAACTCTCGAAACTCTGATATAGAAAAGTAGAATTACAGGTTGAAATCAGGTTCTTAGGGAGTAGAGAGTTTTTTCAACCTTTCCAGCACACACATTTCCCTTAGTCTCTTGTCTTTTTCTGTCTCTTCCCCCCTCTTCCTTTCCTGCCCGGTTCTCCCTTCCTCCCACCCTAGCCTCTCTCTCTGATACACACACAGTCCCTGTGGCATGTCAGTGAATGCATTTGTGTATGATTGGAAGTCCTCCATTTTAGAGACAAGATTAAAGTCACCCCAGGTTATAGAAAGTTTACCTTATAAGACTTCTTGTTAAATACTCTAATGCTTTGGGCAAGTAGATGACAGTGGCAGAAGGAGCTGATATTCACCTTATATTCACCTGTAAAAAAAAAGGGACAAAACTATATGAGTACAGGATTGAGGCACGCAGGATAATTCTAACAAGTGGTGTGAGAATACACAGCAGGGGTGGGGGGAATCCTGGAAATTATGTAAAGGCAAGTTGAAGGTGAAAAAGTCACAAGGCTTTCTAGCTTGTTGAATGTACAGATAGCAGAAGATTAGTTGTCTAGGAATTTTAACTTTTGTTGTGAGCTTTTTAAAAAATTTTCCTTCTCTGCGTTTACTCGGGCAGAATGTTAGTATTTTCTCTGTTTTGACTAGCCCCTGTTGGAAGCAGCAGTATGCTTCACACTTTGCTCTTGTCGTGTCAGGAAAATCCTCAAACTATTTTGCTGTTTACATTCCTGCTTTTATTGTATTGTTTTAGGATCCATTTCAGTATGTCATTTAAAATGTTTCATCTCATAACTTGAGTTTTGTCACACTGAGCTTTTTTGGTTGAGGTGGTGCTGGGGATTGAGAACATCCAGTTTTACCAACATTGAAACTGGAGGTTAGGTAACTTGGCTGAAATACTAGCATCAGGATTATACTCCTTGTATCCCAGTCCCAGATGGTGCTGTGCTGCATTCTCTCATAATTTCATGTTACAGGGTAATCAGTAACCCCTGTTTTGAGAAGCTTGTCAGATGGAAATAGTGAATATTTATGGTAGACTTTCCTTTTGTATCTGACCTTCTTCACTTTTCGTGTTCCTAAGCTCTCAAAGAAGTCAGATGGACACATTAAAGACCAAAGGCTGGGGCGAAGAGCAAAGTCACGGAGTCAAAACAACTCAGTTTGTTCCAAAACAATGTGAGTTCCCAGATTTAGCCCTATCTCCGTATATTGACCTTAGTTCATGTGCACATAAAATTGAGAAATGACATCCTAGTGAAAGATGGTATACCAACGTTTAAAACATTGTCAGACCCCAGGGCTTTGACTTGGGCTTATCCAGTACAAGTAGTTTAGTTAAAAGGCTATTTCAAGATGAAGTAGATTCAAAAGATACCTCTTGATTATTATTCCTAGCTTCTACTTAGCAAATATTTTGTGAGCCTAAAATTAGTTTCTTAATACTTATTTTATTAATTTCTTTATATTTCTCCACTAGCTGTTCACTAAATGGCATTAAATGATAAGTGAATGTCTTGATACTTTGGAAACTGTGTAAGTTGAAATTCTAGCTAGATGATTGATTAATAAAGGAAACATTCAATCTTTTCTTTATCATCTTCACAGACAGAGTTGTTGAAACAAGGGGACCTTTATGCTCAGTGAGAAGTGAGAAGAGGTACATGGTTCAGTTCATTCTAAGTTTTCTTTTGATATATTATTTTCTTTATAAGTTATATTGATGAATAACTATGTCTAAAGAATTGTGAACTCTCCCCAGCTCTGGTAGGTGGTCAGCATATATGGGTACATGGGTGGCTGTTGTGTTGGGTGCCCACCCTAGCTCGGAGGGTGCCCTTCTCTCCTGGGCATTAGGGGTTCGGAGATGCAGGTGCCACTTAGATAGGTGTGTGGTTGTGGTGGGCATCTTTAGGAATTAGCACCTTTCAGTGAAGGCAGTTCTTTGTGCCTTTAGGATTTTGGATGATAGTTCCTTTATAGCAGAGTTTGGGGTAAGCTCTGGCCCATTGTCCAAATCTGGTCCACCTGCCTGTTCTTTTTAAGTAAAGTTTTATTGGAACACATTCATGCTAATACATTTACATCCTGTCTGGCTGTTTTTAAGCTGTGATGGAAGTTGAGAAGATGTGACAAAAACTATAAGACTTGGGGAACCTGGCTGACTCAGTCTATAGAGCATGTGACTCTTGATCTTGGGTTCCTCAGAGTCATGAGTTTGAGCCCCATGTTAGACAGAGGTTACTTAAAAAGAAAAAACAACAACAACAAAAACCAAAACCTGTAAGACTTGCAAAGCTCAAAATATTTACTATCTGATCCTTTTTCAGAAAAACTTTGCTGACCCTTGGTTTAGAGGAGTATATAAACTCACGTTGGTTTTTGTTGACAAATTATTAAGTCTTATTTCTAAAACTAGTCTCACATGTACAAGTTAAAATTATCCAGTCTATACTCTCCCAATATTTTTCCTCAGGTGTTGTTCAAAGGGGAAAATTTCTGATTCAGAGAGGACAGTTGGAATCAGACTTGAAAATGAAGGTGTAAGTGGAAACCCTAGTTAAATTTTATGTTGTTTTACTCTTTCACCTGACCTGTGTTAAAATTTTGGTGCTCATGAAAAGTAAGAAAGATGAAAAATATTACTTTGATTTCTAATTTCATTGTTTTCTTTGAAAAAAGCAGCAGGCATTGAAGATACACAACTTTTGGCTTCCTTCTGAATTCCCGGATGTTCACCTCTGTATGGTAGCTACCTTTTTTGTAAGAGAGACCAACTTGCCTCCGTCCCAGCCCTATATCTGTAGTGCCTGGCTTCTTTTGGAGAATCTTAAAAAACCGTACGGTCTCTAGGAAAGATATGTTCAGGACCTTCTTTTTAGAGTCAGGATCTCAGATTTATTTGAAAATACTACCAATCTTATGCTTAATTGGATTTTACATTTTTCAGTGTACTGGAATGCAAAGTGTTCCGGTGATCTCCATAGCAATACCAACATTTTAAATAATAGCAGCAGAGTGTTTTGCTAAACACTCTGTATCCAAAAGAAATACATTTCTAAATTAAAGGCAAACTTGATGTTTTAGATTATTTCACATTTTAGATACATAGAAATACCAAAGTTTAGGGCGCTGCTTTATGTGAAGTATCAGCTCGATCAAGTTTTTCTTCTCCCATTAAACCTCTTTGTAAGGAAGGGCGCCTGGGTGGCTCAGTTGGTTAAGCGACTGCCTTCGGCTCAGGTCATGATCCTGGAGTCCCGGAATCGAGTCCCACATCGGGCTCCCTGCTCGGCAGGGAGCCTGCTTCTCCCTCTGACCCTCCTCCCTCTCATGCTCTATCTCATTCTCTCTCTCAAATAAATAAATAAAATCTTTAAAAAAAAAAACAAAAAACAAAAATACAAACCTCTTTGTAAGGAAGAGTGTAGGTCTCCGAACATCCCTGTTCCCAGTCATTTGGAGTGAAACCTTCTGTATTGAGTTATTGTTTATCGCCTGTGGAACACCGGCTGAAAAAGGCGGGGGAGCTATGCCTGAGAGAGGACAGAGAGGGAGCATATTTGGAACCTGGGTAAAGACTACCTGGTGCTTCCATCTGTGCCGAACCTGAAGGCTATGCTGTCTGGGGCCGTGGGGAGGGGCCAGCAGCTGCTGGTTTCCTGGGACCAGGATCCCTGGCAGTGAGTTAGAGTGAAGAGTACTGGCTCAGCATGTTGAGACTAGTGTGGTTCTCATCGAAAGCTCTCTTTCTAACTCAGTTTCTTCATTTTCAAAGTTGGCCTACTAGATGCCTTAAATTCACTATTAAAGGTTATGTAGGTCACAATAAGGAAGGATATTGTCAAGAGTTTCTGGAATGCTGGCAGAGTTCTATTTGCTGACCCGAATGGTGCTTACATAGGTGTTAATTTTACAAAAATCAAGTGGTATGTAAATGTTTTTCTGTAGTAAATAATTCCTTTAAAAAAATGAAATGGAGCAAGTTTACTTATTATAAGGATAGTAATACTTTATTCTGAGTGATGGGATTATGGGTCATAGGTTTTGCTTTTTTTAAGCACTCCAACATGTCTTGTAGCCATCTTATTTTTCATTGGCCTAAGAGAACTGAAAAATACTTTTCTTGCTGCCTACAGGGGAAGTGGTGAGTGTTCTGTTTCATGGTTTGTAATTGAGGCGCCCTGTGAGCCTTAGGTCTTGAGCATTTTTTTGTTCCTCTTGCAGGGACAGGCAGACAAAATCTCCTTCACTTACTTGGGAGATTTGCCTATTCTCTCAGGATAATGGCACTGTTTGTTTCATGTGTTATATATGTTTATATATGTAAATATCAAACATGTCAATAGAATATAGAAACTTTTTTGATCAGAGGAGGGGACACCAGCTGGAACCTGACCTATCCGAAGAGGTGTCAGCCCGACTCCGCCTGGGCAGTGGGAGCAATGGCTTACTCAGGAGGAAAATGTCAATACTTGAGACAAAAGAAAAACATTGCTCAGGCAAAGAGAGGGATAAAAGGATGGATGATCTTCTTGAACTTACAGAGGTATTATTTCTTGTGTTGATCAGAATAAGAGGCATGTTTTTAAATAACTTCAGTTATCAAGACTTGAACACATGTTTTATTTTGAGGATTTTCTCCAGGCTAGGGATGAGTGTATGAGAGAAATCAGGTCCAAGGGATGTCCAGTCAGGCTACATTGATCATTAGTGATCTGTGAGGGTGGCCTAAGGGATCAGATTAATGTTCAGCAAATGTGAGTAGACATATTTGTCACATATCTTGGAATGTAATGGGCTCTTTGCAGATTTTTCTTCAAATATTTTGGGTTGCATAGTATGGGTTTGGCATTAGGAATGAGCTCATAGCATTTTTAAAAAGTGATTATTATTTACTAAAATGTCCCTTTTATTGATTATTACATTTGAGAATAGTAAAAACTTATTTGAAAAATCAAGGAAATGAAGGTAGTAAAATTCTCATTTTAAAGGTGAGCCTGTATCTTGGCTCCTTTTCCAGTGTTGTTTTAGTAGGTGGTAGTCAGTCCTATGCAGTGAGAACCTGTTGAGCACTTATTATATATTGGACACACAAATGGAGAGATCCATAAAACGGCACAATTGTATGCAGTGGAGAAAGCCGGATTTAAAATATTTGAATGCAACTAATTTCTTTTGGGTGTATACATTCATCTCAGTAGCTTAAATACGCATTTGTCTGCATAATTCTTCAGAATAATGAAGCCATCTGTTCAGTGAGGACTCATTTGGTAGACCACTGCCGTGTTTTCCAGTTTCTCCCTGTTTGCTTATTCCCTTCATGTCCAAACTGTATGGTAACATCTCTTAGGGCGCCTAATTCTATTACACTGATGATTTTAAATAAAAGTTTAGTAGGTAAATAAGGAAAGTGTGAAAATACTTTAAGAGTACTGTGAAAGGAGCAAAGGCTAGGAAGTTAGACACCCCTGGGTTCCCTGCTAGCAAGGATCTGATACCATGTTTAGCTCAGAGTGCTCAATAAATGGTAGTGGGATAATTGAAACTGTACTTTAAATGGAAACACTATTACCAGATTATTGTTTCCAGAAGCTGGTAATTAAACTAACATTTTCATAACCATTAGTAAAACTGCTTCGTATTATAGAGATGAAAAGCTTGTTTTAGCCTCAGACTCTTGAAATCTGATTGTGGGTCTATTTAAAATACATCCTCTGGACTTTCTAATTCAGGACATGGAAAGGGAAATCAGTAATGCCCTAGGTCATGGCCCACAGGATGAGGTCCTAAGTAGCGCTTTCAAGTTGCGAATCACTCGAGGTGATATCCAGACCTTGAAGAACTACCACTGGCTCAATGATGAAGTAAGTTGTTCTTTTCTCCCCTGTTCTGTTATTATGCTTAACCATTTACCATCTATAACCAAAGTGATTTCTACCTAATTATTAGGGGTTGGGAAAGCAGCTTTTGGTTTCATTTAAAACAGAAACATCTCATGGGGCGCCTGGGTGGCTCAGTTGTTAAGTGTCTGCCTTCGGCTCAGGTCATGTTCCCGGGGTCCTGGGATCGAGCCCCGCATCGGGCTCCCTGCTCAGTGGGGAGCCTGCTTCTCCCTCTCCCACTCCCCCTGCTTGTGTTCCCTCTCTCGCTATCTCTCTCTCTGTCAAATAAATAAAATCTTAAAAAAAAACAAAACAGAAACATCTCAAAACTTAAAACAGTGGTCAATTCTGATTCTTTGCTGCCTTTAATTAGCCATGTTTCCCTCTTCTGCATCGGTGCTTTGTTTCATCCACCACTTCATTTACTAGCAGTCTTCAGTGACTTTTTTTTTTTTTTTTAACAAATTTATTTGTTTTTAAGTAAGCTCTGTGCCCAACGTGGGGTTTGAACTCACGACCCTGAGATCAAGAGTCGCATGCTCTACTGACTCAGCCAGCCAGGCACCTCTTCAGTGACATTTTTATTTATTTACTTATTTTTTTAAAGATTTTATTTATTTATTTGACAGAGAGCACAAGCAGGAGGAGTGGCAGGCAGAGGGAGAGGGAGAAGCAGGCTCCCCGCCAAGCAAGGAGCCTGACCCAGGGCTCAATCCCAGAACCCTGGGATCACGACCTGAGCCGAAGGCAGACGCCCAACTGACCGAGCCCCTCAGGCACCCCTCAGTGACATTTTTATAAACCTTGGGTGTAGCTGATGAATAGAAGGAAGCAGCAAGTGATACTTATTTTAGAGGAATTCTTATAAGAGCCATTTTATTTTTTCAGTAATAAAGGGATCGATTGATCACTGTACACACATGTATATATAAAATGTGTCTTTTTCTTTATTTGAGTGATAACTGTAAAAATTTGCCGAATTGTCATCTTGTATCCTTACATATTTAGCTAAAACTAACTCTTAGTTCTTGTACATGTTCTAGCTGGTCCTTTCCCTAACTCCCCAAAGTCCCTGCATTTTCCCCCTTTGCCTTCCTTCCCATCCCCCCCAGACTAATGACATAGAAACACATTCTTATAAAACTAGTATTTTTGTTTTACATTATAAATGCTATATATTTATTATAGAAAATTTGGAAAGTACAGGAAAAGTAAAATAAAAATATCATTCAAAAGTGCCACCACTCAAAAATGAACAAAATATTAATGTTTGGGTATATTTTCTTCCAGTTAATATTTTTTTATATATAGTAAAATTTATGAATAGTAAAATTCAATTCTAGTTAATATTTCTGCATATTTTTTTCATGTGATGTAGTTGCATACACCTTTTCATTATTGCAGACTTTCTCCTTAAGTTCCTTGGCTCTTTTACTCACATACTTCAAAAGTACAATTTCACTCCTTAATGCCTCCCATTTTGCACTCATTATCTTTTATTTTCCTTATTATGCTGTAAACAATCCTTTCATCCCCATCTCTAGTATATTCCTTTCCTGGAGCTTCTTACCTTCTAATTCATCCTAACTTAGGTAGAGATTTAGTTTTGGTAATGTACTTGCCACGTTCTGACGTTTACTCCCTTGGTATTATAGGTCATTAATTTTTACATGAATCTTCTGGTGGAAAGAAACAAAAAACAAGGGTATCCAGCACTTCACGCATTCAGTACTTTTTTCTATCCCAAATTAAAGTCTGGTGGTTACCAAGCAGTGAAAAGATGGACCAAAGGGGTCAATCTCTTTGAACAGGAACTTATTCTGGTGCCTATTCATCGGAAGGTACATTGGAGCCTGGTGGTGAGTTGAGAGGGTTAATTGTTGGAGTTTGTTTTCTTGACTAATGAAGGCTACCCTTTTCTGCCCAGTTAAAAATCCAGTAGTACATATAAAGGCATACTCTGTAGAGTCTCTTCTCGGTTCTTGAGTTGAACAACTTAGAAGGCTAGATGGCAATTAATTGAATTTAAATTAAAAAAAAATAGAAAAAACCCCAAAAGATTAAATTACACACACACACACACACACAGCTAGATGGCATACAGGAAGACAGGAAAGAGTTTTAGTACACATATGAGTTCTTTATCTGATTTCTTTAGTTTTGTTTACAAGATGGTACAGATTTATTATAGAAGAGTAAAGGTATAAAGAAAAAAAACAAGAACAAAAAATCTCATCACTTTGAGAGGACCACTAATGTTTTGGTGAGTAAGTTTCTAGGTTTTCTCTGGGACTAGAGGTATATACTTTTATAGAAATGAAGCTCATATCATCTGTGATAATTTATAAAAAATGTGTCTTAGAAATCCATTTATGTTGGTACTTGTATTAACTTTTTAAAAGATGCTTTTCCTTTTAGAAATAAAATTCTATTGTGGTTAAGATGTTTCTGGATATTGTATTTTTCCATTGTAGGTGATAGACCTAAGAAAAAGGTGTCTTAAATATCTGGATTCTATGGGACAAAAGGGCCACAGGATCTGTGAGATTCTCCTGTAAGTAAAGGTTGAAAAACTTTACTGTTGTGTCATTATGCCCTTGTTAGCTGATCTATCTTGTATTTAATCCAGGGAGGCTCTGGTGGATGGTAGTTTAATGTTTGGTGAAGGCTATTTTCCCAGTTGTTCAGGAATTGACTTGAATTCATCTTCTTATCAAAAAAACCCCCTAATATCTGATCTTAACTGAGAACTCTTATTTAGTAGCATCAGTGGAAACAAGTTTGTCATGCACTGTAATATAAAATATGTCTTATTAGAATCCTGTGATTTGAATTGTTTCTTTTTTTTTTTTTTTAAGATTTTATTTATTTATTTGACAGAGAGAGAGACAGCGAGAGATGGAACACAAGGATGGGGAGTGGGAGAGAGAGAAGCAGGCTTCCCACCAAGCAGGGAGCCCGATGTGGGGCTTGATCCCAGGACCTTGGGATCATGACCTGAGCCAAAGGCAGACGCTTAACCGATGGAGCCACCCAGGCGCCCCTGAATTAGGTTTCTTTAGGATTGATACATTATTCTGAATGTTCTGAGGAACTCTTAACTAGGGTCTTTTTCCTCGAATTCTTAAACCCACTCATGTCTCTGCTTTCCATCATGGTTGGGTTCATTTCAGAACCAAGAGGTAACTTTTAAGTTAAAGCATATGGTTTGTAGGCAACCATTTCAAATAGTAATTGCTAGAAACCTGCCTTTAAAGCATAGCCACTTAGTAAGCTGTGTAAAGTGGTGACATGAATTTCACAGTGAGGAAGCAGTTCAGTAAGAGCAGTCTGTTTTGAACCCCTTCTGCTCACTGGAAGCAAATGGGGGTTCTCGTTTTTAATTTTAGTAAGGATACTTGAATAAGTTTATAAGGATACTTTAGTAAGGAACCTCTTAAATGAATGACAAAATTTGTTATTAACAATTAGTTCAATTCTCTCTTTTTCAATATTGTTTTGGTGTAAAAGATCCTTTTTATTTACTATTTATCTTGAATAGAAAGTTTAGAGAAGAAAGTTTGAAAAATCATAAGATACACCGAATTGTTTATAAAACAGTTATTTCCTTCTAGTGTTTTCTGTTTCAGATGTATATAAAACATGCCCACATACATACATGTGCGCAGACACGTACATATTATCACATAGATAGAAATGTTCTCGCTGAAATCATACAGCAAAGTTTTGTGTCCTGATTATAACAGGATACAAAAAAAAATCATACCTCACTCTTTGCTCTTTCTCCCTCTCCCTCCTGTGGGGATCTGAGGCCCACTCCCTTTCCTGATGTTCCCAGTTCAGCTTTTCTTGACATTTTTTTTGCATTATTACCTCCGAGAAAAATTTAATTTCTCCATGACAAGAGAGAATTGTGCTAAGGAATAAAACTTCTTGTTTGTTGGGTTTAGAGGGCTACAAACCTTTGAAATAGCTAAGATTCTTGCCTTCCAAGAACCAGTTTCCACCCCCTCCTCTCCCCCAGAGGGCGGGGGCGAGGTGGCTCCCACTGAGAGTGCATGCCCCGGCACCACTGATGCTGGTTGCCTTTACATGAAGGTTGGGATGAGAATGGAGATGCCTGGCTTAAATTTGATAACCCTTGGAAGATCTGGATAAACTTAAATCACTCTTAATACTTAAGTATGTATCTCTTAGGAACAAGGAAGTTCCCTTACATAATCACAATGTCATTATCACACTGAAGAAAATGAGCCATCAGGGGCACCTGGGTGGCTCAGTCAGTTGAACGTCTGACTCTTGGTTTTGGCTCAGGTCATGATCTCAGGGTTGTGGGATTTAGTGCTTAGCCGTGCCGGGCTCTGCGCTTAGTGGGGAGTCTGCTTGAGATTCTCTCTCTCCCTCTCCCTGTCTCTCTCAAATTAATTGATTGATTAATTTTAAAAAAGGAAAATTAGCAATTAGTCACATGTAATTTTTGGCTCATGTTCTGATTTCCTCAGGTATGTTTTATAGTTTTTTTTCCCTAATGCAGGAAGCCGGTCAGAGTTCACAGGTGGATTTCATGCCTCTTTAGTCTAATTTAGATTAGTCTTCCTTTTTTCATTTTTCATGGCAAAGGCTTTTTTTTGGGGGGGTGGTCTAGGCCAGTTGTCTTGTTTTATATCTATTCTAATTTTTAATTGAAGTATAGTTGACACAATGTTATATTAGTTTCAGGAGTATAATTTAGTACTTCGACAATTCTTTAGTTATGCCATGCTCACCACAAGTTTAGGTACTTTTTCAGTTTCCAGTATAGTTAACATACAGTGCTATATTAGTTTCAGGTGTACAATGTAGTCAATATAGTGATTCAACCATTATAGAACATTGTATATTAATCAGTATGCATCACGGTAAGTGTGCTCTTAATCCCCTTTACCTGTTTCACCCATCACCCCATATTTTATATCTATTTTTAAAGATTTTATTTATTTATTTGAGACAGAGAGAATGAGAGAGAGAGAGAGCACATGAGAGGGGGGAGGGTCAGAGGGAGACGCAGGCTCCCTGCCGAGCAGGGAGCCTGATGCGGGACTCGATCCCGGGACTCCAGGCTCATGACCTGAGCCGAAGGTAGTCGCTCAACCAACTGAGCCACCCAGGCGCCCCTTTATATCTATTTTTAAGTGAGAAAAAGCAAGTTGTAAAATGAAGTACTTTTTATTTTATTTTTATTTTTATTTTTTTAGAGACAAATCTTTTTTTTTAAGATTTTATTTATTTATTTGACAGAGACACAGCGATAGAGGGAACACAAGCAGGGGGAGTGGGAGAGGGAGAAGCAGGCTCCCCACTGAGCAGGGAGCCCGATGCGGGGCTCGATCCCAGGACCCTGGGATCATGACCTGAGCCGAAGGCAGACGCGTAACGACTGAGCCACCCAGGCGCCCCTGAAGTACTTTTTAAAATAAAGTGTATGGGGTGCCTGGGTGGCTCAGTTGGTTAAGCGACTGTCTTCGGCTCAAGTCATGATCTTGGAGTCCCTGGATCGAGTCCCGCATCGGACTCCCTGCTCTGCAGGGAGTCTGCTTCTCCCTCTGACCCTCCCCCCTCTCATGTGCTCTCTCTCATTCTCTCTCTCTCTCAAATAAATAAATAAAATCTTTAAAAAAAATAAAATAAAGTGTATGTTTTTAAATTGTGTGTGAGTAGTGGAGAACTAGAAGAATACACAGCAAACTATTAATAGTAATTACTGCTGGAGTGGCTATTATGGGGTCTTTTGCATTTTATATTTTACAGGTTTTAATTTTCTAAGGCATGTCCAGTTTTTGTAAGCAGGAAAAAAATGAAATTTAAAAACCAAAAGCAATCACATTTTTAAAAAAAGCTCTAGTGAAGATGGATTTGAGAATAGCCTGTCTATTAAACATCCTTTGTAATGTCCTTTGTAATCATAATGGTAAGTCTCCACAGGGATTCATCAATATATTCCTTTGTTGTTTTTTTAGTCAGTATTTACAGGATGAAAGTAAGACCAAAAGAAATATTGATCTGAATCTTCTAGAGTGGACCCACTACAGCATGAAGCCACATGTAAGTGACAATCATCTGCATTTGAAGTGCTGTTGCCTTTACTGACTGTGGCATATTATGTAGACCCTGCTTCTTCCCTCCCCTCACTCATTCATACCCTTAGGCATGCGTTCTCCTGAAGTATACATCTTAAGAATTATCTGCTTCTAAATCTTTAGAAATTCGTTTAACCAAGATGTCTGCTTTTTGGCCTTTATTTCTTGGTTAAATCTAAATGTTGGGGCAGCTGGGTAGATCAGTTGGTTAAGCATCTGACTTTTTTTTTTAAAGATCTTTATTGAGGTGTAGTTGACAGAAGAAAAATGCACAGTTAAAGTGTACAATTGGATAAGTCTTCACATAGATATATACATGTGAAACCATCATCATACTCAAGATAATGAAGATGCCCATCACCCCAAGAGCTTCTTTATGCCCCTTGGGAACCCTTCCCTCCAGTCCCATTCCCATGCTACACAACTCATCTCCTTCCTGCCAATTTAACATGCTGTTGCTGTCCACTATTTTAGATTGTCTTTTGGAAAGGCCTATGAATCACACATCATTATCACTTTATATAAACAATGGTTGTTTACATTTACCTACATCTTTATCAGTAGAGTGGCTCTGCATTCATTCTTGCATCTCAGACTTTTCTTGGGAGATCATTTTTTGGAAACACATCATTTAAAAATTCTTCTAGTCAACGTCTGGTAGTAAATGTTCTTAGTTTGTGAAAATCTGAAAATGTGTCTGCTTCACCTTCATACAGGAAAGATGTTTTTCTAGGTGCACAGTTCTAGGTTGTCAATGTTTGTTCACTTAGAACTCTGAAGATAAGTGCACTGTGTTCTGGTTTCCTTGTTGCTACCGAGACATCTGATATATAGTTACCGTTCCTTTGCAGACCAATTTGTCCTTTCTTTCTGGATTCTTTTAAGCATCCGACTCCTGATTTCGGCTCAGGACATGATCTCAGGGTTGTGAGATCAATCCTGCGTCGGGCTCCACAGTCAGCAGGGAGTCTGCTTGAAGATTCTCTTTCCCTCTCTTTCTGCCCCTCCTCCTGTGCACCCACTCTCTATCTCTCGCAAATAAATAAATCTTAAAAAAAAAATAAATTGTGGGGCGCCTGGGTGGTTCAGTTGGTTAAGTATCTGCCTTTGGCTTGGGTCATGATACCAGGGTTCCTGGGATCAAGCCCTGCATTGGGGTCCACGCTCAGCGGGGAGCCTGCTTCTCCCCCTCCCTCTGCCACTTCCCCTGCTTGTGAGTGCTCACGCTCTCTCTTTCAAATAAATAAATAAAATCTTTAAAAAATAAATTGTAAATATTAACCATATGCTAGCATGTCTCTCAAAAAAAGCTAATAAACTCAAGTCAGCTATTTTTCTTGGTTGGTGCTGATGAAAGTTTAAAGTTCTTTTTACTTACTGGGAATTTTGTTTATTTAGGTCTTAAAGGTCCCATGCCACAGGTCCTCAAGAGTCAAGTATGCTCTTTGTGAATATGCTTTGTATTATACTTGCCAGATTTGAATCTCATTCAGGGTTTGACAATGCATACATTTTTGAGCCCTAATGGCTTCTTTTTAAAGTAAGCTGCATAAATTCAGCTTTAGCCCTCACCTGTGTATAATGGCTCCCCTGTCTTTACTCAAAGGATTTTCCTTTCTAAGTTGAATAATTAGAAGGTTAAGCTTTGAAATTTCCTGAGGAAAGCATAGATATAAGGAGTCTGTTAGGATGAGTACCATGTTCTGGTATGGGGAACGTAATAAAGAAAACAAACTGTATGTTGGAGTCTATAGTTCTCTCCATTCTGTGAGAGATGCTGTGCTCAGGAGAAAAGTGTGAGCTACTTACCGTATGTGTGGGTGTTGTGCATGTTCAGACAATCTTTTCTTTTTTTACAATAATCATCTGTATTTCTTGGAATAAAAATTGAGCTTTGGTCATCTGGAATGTTTTCCAGCAGGGGATTCAGACTCTCTTTTATTCTTACTATCTTGTGCTCCTTAGAGCTGACAGCCAAAATGCGTATGGGGCTGGCCAAGGTTAGGGCAGCAGAGGCCTGGGGAGTGTGTCAATTTAGCTCACGTGGATTGGTTTTGGGGCCTTTAGTACCACTTGCAGTAAGCTCTGCTTTTGCCTCAGGACAGAATTGAGCCATCAAAGCAAGATCCTGATGAAAGCCTGTCAAGAGGCATTTTTTCTTTTCCCTGCTTGTAGCTGTGGGAGTCGAAAGTTGTGGTCTTCTTTTCCTGTCTAGAGAAGTTAAACCCTGCAGTATTGAAATAGGTTAGTTGTTTTGATTGAGCCATATTTAGCCCTTTTCAAAATGTATAAAGTGCTTCTGAAACCATTCTGACTAGAATTCCTGTTCCTAGTAATAAACTTTCAGTTTGGTTTCTTAGTATGAGAGCCAAGAGATGGAATTGTCACTTTGCTTTTCCTTTCCTTTCTGAAAAATATTTTCTGTGCGGGTCACGAACTCCAGTCATGGTGGGAGTTCTTATGCCACATAAAGACTGTGTTTGTGTAGTACCTGTATAATATTGTTTATCCACTGTAATATTTATAAGAAGTCAAAGGAGTTTGTATTTGATGACATTTTTATCCCTTTCTCCCCCCCTTTTTTTTTTAAATTTTAGGAGATTCCTCAACAGTTGAATGGGAGTGATTGTGGAATGTTTACTTGTAAATATGCAGATTATATCTCTAGGGACAAACCTATCACATTTACTCAGGTGAGTGGAGCCCCCTCTTCACCCACTTACTTGTTATCGAAGAAGATGAACTCCGAGCGGGTTCCCCGTGCCTGGTGCACAGTAAGGTCTGAAGAATGGCCCCTGAGCCGCCGCTCTTGCTGTTGTCACCCTCGGCCGTGGCCCCGCTCCTGCTGGGATCGGGGTTTGGCACTGCATCTGCTCTTAGGTTTCTCCTCCTCTTTGGTGACCAGTGAGGCAGTTGCATATCTCCGAACTCCAGTGTTCACTAGCTCCTGAGTATTACTGATATTTTTGGCCAAAGGAGGAGGCAAGTAAGAGTGTGTGTGACAGCCCGGGGAAATCAGGCCTTGTGAGAAGGTAAGCTGCGGGTCTGAGCTAGAACTACAAATACTGCCTTCCCTTTCTGTGCTGGTTACTTGAGGTTCTCCGGGGCTCTGTATTTGAGCGGGAATTCGAGTGTGTTGGGAACTCTTGAGAGTTTATGTTTGTAATAGTGGATTCTCAACCTTTTTATAACTGAGTCAGGACAACCCCCTTTAAAATATATTTTTCTTCAGCAGACCTCATTTGGGTAGATGTTGTCTACCAAACTACTTACTGAATAGGACTGGTAACCCTATTCCAAGCTGGTGAGCAATATGAAGTAACTAGGGCTCCCATGCTGAGTTAATACAATTCTAGTCTAAAATAAAGGCACTTTTTATTGGTTAGTTTTACTAAGAATAAATGTGTGATTTTTTTTTTTTTACTCTATGTTTTGAACTATTTAAAATAACTTACACATCCATGTATTAAGACTTTTTAGGCCCCTCCAGGTAGGAAATCACTAGTTTATAGTAAAGTGGTATGTCCATCTTGTAATGAGATACCAGGAGTACCTCAAGGGTGTGAACTTCTGGTTTCATCAAAAAGAGGACTAGTTGAGTTACAGGTAATTTTGGGTTTGTCTTGTGTGTTGCTGCTTTGAAAATTGGCCCATGTAGTGATTGTCATAAAGCAGAATAATGTATTGAGTCAAGCCATTTCCTTCTTTGATGCTTCTAAGTCACAAGGAGTTATTTGCTGTCCGAACCTACTGACGTGAGATTTGAAGGGCAGAAGTTGCCATTTGAACAGAATTGACAATGTATAACGTTTGGTAAAACAGGGAGAGATTTTTGAATGTTTTTTCCTTTATTTAAATAGAGTTCATGTTTTTCTCGAAAAAGCAAAATATGTTCATTTTAGAATGTTCTGTAAGTACATGTAAGTAGAAAAGTTTCATATTATGCTACCCCTCGGGGTTTCCATTTTGGTTCACGTCTTTGTGCTATGACGTAGTTGTGGGATTCTGTTGTATAATTCTGCAGCCCGCTTTGATTTTCCTTAACGTGTAAAACTGCTTCTGATACAGACATTATAATAAGAACATTATAACCCCCTTATCTATGGCTTTGTAAGTCTGAAGCATGACATCAAAGAGTCAAGGCTTCTGTAAGGGACATGGTTTACTGACGCGATTGCGCCCCGAGGGTTACTGTGTGGCATATGATGTGTTGTTTGTGGACTGCAGCACCAGATGCCTCTCTTCCGGAAGAAGATGGTGTGGGAAATCCTTCATCAGCAGCTGCTGTGAGAGCGCCCCGCCCAGTCCCTCGAGCTGCTGGTGGTTCTGTCACGGAGGACGGCTGTTTCCATATACCTCATGCGTCGTGGGTTCAGAAGTCCCTGCATCACCTCTGTTGGCTCACGGGTCCTGAGCTGTAGGACGTGCGCGCCGGCCTCGCCTGCACCCTGGTCCTGACGTGGTGTGTGGACGTTCTGCCTGCAACCCCCTGTGTAAGCCTGTGCCTGCTCGGAGCCTGGACTGTTCGACCCACACGAGGACAAACGCTCACTAATAACTCTTTTTTTTGAAAGATCTTTTTTTCCCTATGAATGTGGGAAATGCAGGATTGATTCTACGATGTGTCTTCTGTGTGTGTGTTCCCGTGTGTTCATTCGCTCCCTCATTTGCAAGCATAACGGGCAGGGGCCGTCTGCCGCTGCTCTTACAGTTAACTCTGAATTACCTGTTTGAACTATTTATTTGTGAAGGGAATGTTACCCAAGCTCCACTCCCAGCCCAAGATCCAGAGGGCAGTCGGTGCGGGGAGGGGGGAAGGAAGGGTTAACCGACTGCCCCAGGGCTGGAGCAGAAAGGGCCAGCTCAGCCGCAGATGCTGCGTTGGAGCCGGGAGGCGCCGCGGGGGAGGGCTCCGGTCCCTTCCAGAGCCAGCCTGGCGCGGCGGCGCCGGCGCGGGGCGGGGCGCGCGGGGGGCGCGGGGCGCGCGGGGGGCGCGGGGCGCGCGGGGGGCGCGGCAGAGCGGGGCGTGGTTCGCCAGGCGCCTCCGCGAGAGCGCCGCGGGCATCCTAAAGAGACCGCTCCGTCTGGAAACGAGGTGACTTGGCTACTCTTGAGACGGGATTTGAAGTAACTGTAAGCCCTAAATCTTCATTTTCATCCCATACTGGGTGAGTATAAACCTCAAAATTGTAAGGGCTGGCCCGGACCGTTGATGTCAAAAGATACTATTCAATGTCAGAGCTATTTTTCCTCAAACGTTGTTTTTTTCTATATATAAAACCGAAATTAAGTTTTGTACTCGTTAGGATTTACGTCCCTCCCTCCCCCCCATTCCATCCCCACTGAAATTGGGAAGAAAATTTAGTACTTGGCTCTGAGGCTGCCAGTTGTACAATGATCTATTTTGCATATGAAAGTTTGTATTTACCTTTTTTGTTCATTAAAAACTTTCCAGTGGTTACGCATTTTTAATTTCAGAGAGTTTATAGAGTTGGTCAGAGCATATTTTGCAAGATCTAGTGCCTAGTGTTGCTTTCCCGGTGTAATAAAGGCTGTCTGGCGGAACCTGAAAAGTATGTGCTGAAATGACTTCTAACCCTTTCCCCACCTAACCGCCCCCCCCTTGTCCTGGCGCACAAAAGCAAGGGGGTAAAACCAGAAAAATCGCGCCTGTGTTCGCCGTGAACCAGCGTGTCCGCCCTCTGGAGGGCGTGGCCGCCGGTCACAGACGCCTGGTACTGCAGCCAGTTTCCCTGGGCCGTGTCCGAGGCTCCGTATACGGCATCTGGGGCCCGGCGGAACTTGTGGTGCCTACTTGATAGGCACACCAGAGGACGTGTGCTGGATGAGGAGTAGAAGGGTGAGCTGCGGGCGCCTGGGTGGCTCAGTTGGTTAAGTGACTGCCTTCGGCTCAGGTCATGATCCCGGAGTCCCTGGATCGAGTCCCGCATCAGGCTCCCTGCTCGGCAGGGAGTCTGCTTCTCCCTCTGACCCTCCCCCCTCTCATGTACTCCCTCTCTCTCATTCTCTCTATCTCAAATAAAAATAAATAAAATCTTTAAAAAAAAAAAAAAAAAGGGTGAGCTGCTCGTGCAGAGTCTCCCTCAAGCTTAGGCCGCACACAGCCTCTTCTGGAGGCCACCGGCGCTGTGTCCCTGAGGGCTGGGATCAAGCAGCTGGGACAGCCAAAAAGCCGGAGATTTACCGGCTCAGCATTATACTAAAAGCCTGGGTTCCACTTGGCTCTTAGAGGTTTCACCTGAGAATTTAGTACCTTAAGATTTGTTCCATGGGGGGTAAATCCGGTGAGGAATGGCGGTTTGTATTCCACAAATGTCCCCGGGGAGGGACAACGGGGTTTCAGTCGTTTGTGTGACACAAGGAGCTGAGGGGCTTCTTCGAGCAGCGGTCGCTGAGCTGCCCACTACTGTGTACCCTTCAGGACAGCCCTTAACAGTCTCCCAGGACATAACGAAATCGACGAGAGCAGGGAGTTAAGCTGGAGAACGGCCTTCTAGTTTACCCCGAGTTCCTGAATTTAATAGGAGTTACCACAGGCCGTGCTTCTCTAGGCCACTGACGTGTCTCTCTTGGTGCAGAGAAACTTGTCACTAATAGAATTTTTATTTCTTTTTTTTTTTTTAAAGATTTTATTTATTTATTTGAGAGAGAGAGAATGAGAGAGAGCATGAGAGGGAGGAGGGTCAGAGGGAGAAGCAGACCCCCCGCTGAGCAGGGAGCCCGATGCGGGACTCGATCCCTGGACTCCAGGATCATGACCTGAGCCGAAGGCAGTCGCTCAACCAACTGAGCCACCCAGGCGCCCCTAGAATTTTTATTTCTAAACAGCTTATGAGAAAAGCAGTCAGGTGATAAAATCAACAGCTGATCTTACCAGTAGCCAATTACCAACAGTAAAGCCAGTGATAGATACATATTTTTAAATTGCAGGAGTTTGGGGATCTGAGAAAAAAGGTAGAGTGGACCATTGTTCTTTTTTAGTAGGCACTCTGTCCTAAAGATTGATAAAGATGAAAAAAGAAAAAAACATACACAAAAACTGTTGGTAAGCACGTGTCTTTCTCATGTTTGACCTTATACCAGAGCTGGGATGTGGTGGGAGGGACACAGACCTGGGGCATTGGGAAGATGTTCTGGAGAGCCCCAGATTCTACCTCAGTTGCCAAAGACTATTAGAACTTCTGAACTATTCCTCTGAAATCCTAAGCACAACTTGAGGAATGCCAGGTTGAATGGTGGCTGTTCGCACTATAAGGAGTTGCTTGGTGCTGGGACCAAGGTGTGGGTGTGGGAGAATGTGTCCTTGGAGATCTATTGAACCTCAGATACAGATAAGTCAACAAGCTAGAGAAACTTAAGTCTGTAGTAACCTTAGTACTATAGTGAAGCTACATAGTTTAAATTGGGTTTTGTGAACTAATTGGGAACCTGATCTCTAGTTTCTTTGAGGAAAAACTCTAAGCACCCAATATTCAAGCAAACTTTTGGTACTGTTTTAAGTTAGAGATCTAGCTGGCTGTATTGCTTTGATAACCTTTTTTTAAAGATTTTATTTATTTATTTGACAGAGGGAGCGAGCACAAGCAGGGGGAGAAGCAGAGGGAGAAGCAGACTCCCCACTGAGCAGGGAGCCTGATGTGGTGCTCGATCCCAGGACCCTGGGATCATGGCCCGAGCCGAAGGCAGATGCTCAACTGACTGAGCCACCCAGGCGCCCCTGATCACTTTTTTCTTTTAATTTACTTAATCTATACAAGGAGGAGTTTGGGTGTATTGAAACAGGTGTTGATTTTATCAATAGATAAGTAGGTATTGATTTTATGAAATCAGTAGGTGTTGATTTCATCTTATTTACCAATAAATTCATGTCTTTCAAGATTTTTTTTTTTAGATTTTATTTATTCATTTGAGACACACAGAGAGAGAGAGAGAGCATGAGCAGGGAGAGAGGCAGAGGGAGAGGGAGAAGCAGGCTCCCTGCTGAGCCAGGAGCCCGATGTGGGGCTCAATCCCAGGACCCTGGGATCATGACCTGAGCCGAAGGCAGATGCTTAACCATCTGAGCCACCCCGGCACCCCTCAGATTTTTGATTGCAAATTTTTTTGTATTTTTTATTGTGACCAGCACATACATGTATACATATTATGTGATTTTATGTAGACACAAAAGTTCTATAAAAACACTACTTACCCTTGCTAAACTCTGATAGTTTTATTTCCGTTTTTTAAATAAAAATGTAGGTTATGACCACCAAGCTGGTTTCTCAACCCACTAATGGACAGAAATCCAGTTTAAAAAGCTCGGCTCCAAATCACCTGACAGCAGGAATGCAAATTATATTTAAAACTGTAAAGCTGGAGACCACAAAAATATGATAACATGTGGGACTATTTTGAGATGAATCATTCTAGGAAAATGGGCCAGAAGCTTTCAGACCCTCAATGGAAATATGTAAATAGTCCTTGTTTTTCAGGTTTGTGTGTTGGCATTTCTAAAATATGTTAAGTACAGGTCCTGTTACTTCTATCTAGGATGTGAAAGAATGGTCCTGGGAATGTGTGGGTTCCGTGGCTTTTCCTCCTGGGACGCACAGCAAACGTTAGAACAGATTCATGTCTGAACCTCATGTTTCTGAAAACTTGGACATGGAACCTTTCTGTGTGTGTCACCTGTAGAACTGTTCTATGGAACACACTTTGGAAAGTGCCAGGAGAAGTAACATCAAGTTCTTAGAAGAATGTACTTCAAATATACAGTGGAGAAGCCCTGCCCCCACCCGCCCCTGGCACACATACTGGCTCCTGAAGGGCATATGGTGATCGTCCAGTCTGTAGTCATGCTTGTTTTTAATTGTATCTGTAATAGGTGTTCATAGTAGAAAAGTGAAATGCTGATAAATGGTAAAGAATGAGAATTCTGCAAACTCACCATTCAGAGTCCGTAGCTGAACATTAACATTTTGGTATATATCCTGGCCTTTGGTATATATGCCCCTTCTTATATGTATAAGTAAGTGTGTGAATTGTACACATTCACACATGCATGTTTTTTGTTTCTAACAAATACGGAATCATACTATATATATGGCTATATAATCCCCTTTATCTCAAACGTACCTTCGTGTCAATAAATATTGACATCATGTAGTTGTTGCATAGTGTTCTAGAATATGGCTGTAACATAATTATATTAAGTATTGTTGCACATACCATCTTGTACCATGTTTGGGTCATTCTCTTAGGAGAAATTCTCATTTAAAATTTCTGAGTTAAAGTTAGGTATATTAAAAACAAATCAGGGGAAAAAATCACCTATTGGTATTTTGACTTATTTCTTCTGGCACAGGATAATGATCTGTAACTCCACTGATTTAACTATTTTTTTTAATTTTTAATTTCTATTTCTTAAAGATTTTATTTGTCAGAGCGCGAAAGAGCGAGCAGCACACAAGCAGCGGGGGCGGCAGAGGCGGAGGGAGAAGCAGGCTCCCCGCTGAGCGGGGAGCCCGATGCGGGCCTCGATCCCAGGACTCTGGCTGGGATCATGACCTGAGCTTAAGGCAGACGCTTAATCAACTGAGCCACTCAGTTGGCCCTACGTTTTTTTTTTT